GTGCCACCCACAGGGCCCTCAGGGGTGCCAGTGGGGGAGATATCCAGGTCCCTCCTCAGAAATATGGAGGCAAAGAAATTGTTGAATATGTCAGCTTTACTGTCAGGTGAGATGACCAGATTTCCTAGCGTGTCCTGCAGAGGCCCCACATTACTTGTCACCTTCTTTTGTCCCCCTATGTATTTGAAAAAGGACTTCTTGTTGTCCTTGATCTGGGTCGCTAGTCCCAGCTCCATTTCCTCCTTGGCCTTCCTGACCGCCCCGCTATATTCCCAAGCTACCGAGGTATAGCCCTGTCTTGTGATGACCCCTCCCTTCCAACTGGTGTATGCCTCCTTTTTTGTTCAGAGACGTTCCCGGATGCTTTTGGTGAGCCATCCCCTTGTCCCCTTTGACTCGCGTAGGGATTACTTCCCTTTGAGCTTGGAGGATGGTCTCCTTAAGGAGTGACCACTCCTCCTGGACACTCAACTCCCTCCAGCTCTGGGGCGTCGGTGCTTTCCCCACTAGTTTTCTTACCTCATTAAAGTCTGCCCTCCTGAAGTCGAGGGCTGCTGCCTTGCTGGAGGCTTTTGCCACCTTGCGCTGGATGATGAATTCCAGCAGACGACGATCACTATCGCCCAGGTGATCGAGTACCCGCAGACCCCATACCAGGTTGTTGCCAGGGGCCAGGACCAAATCCAACAAGGCATCTCCCCTGGTGGGGCTGTGTACCTCCTGGGTTATATGGAGGTCCTGTATGTCAGCTAAGAACCTGCGTGAGCAGTCAGACCTGGCTGTCTGCTCCTCCCAGCAGATGTTTGGCAAGTTTTAGGTCACCCATGACGATCACATCCTTGGACCTAACTATCTCTGTGAGCTGACTTAAGAATTCCTGGTCTTGATCTTCTCCTTGGTTGGGTGGTCTGTAGTAGACCCCCACCATTAAGTCCCTTTCTCCCCAACCCCCTTGTACTCTAACCCAGAGCACTTCTGTTTGCTCTTCCTCTGACCCAGTGATACACATTGTGGATGTGTGTTGCTCCTTGACATAGAGTGCCACACCCCTACCCTTCCTACTTGTCCTATCTTTCCTGTTCACAACTGAACAGTGGTAGAACCAATTTTTCTGCTCTAGGATATTATTTAGCAAGTACAACTTTAACTTAGTAAATATGAGACGTAGCTATGCCAGCTCTTGTCATTATATTTTTTTTTAAGGGAATGTAGAAGAACAAGTGAGGTAAGTGCTACATTTGAAAACTGTCTGCTGGATTTTGGGATTGGCGATTTCTGCCAGCTACAGAATTCTCTATGGAAATTTTAAACAAAAAAGTTATCATGCAGATGTTGTTTAACATTGCTGTTTTAGACTGTCTTATGATTTGTAACCTGGATACTGGCTTCTTTATTTAAAAAAAAAAAAAAAAAAAAATTATAAAGAAAACTAATTTTAAACTGCTCCTGTTTTTCACAGAAGCCAGCATTCAGTGTTGAAAATGAGGAAAATAATCTGTATCTGGAAAATAGGGATAACAAATGTTGAGGGCTCTTTGAGATGATTCACAGTGCTCATTTTATCCAGAAATTCTTCTTTGTAACTTGCACCTTCAGGTAGTCAAGCCACTTGGATATACTTAGGATGCTGAAAAAACAGGGAAAATATTTTCTCTTGTATGAGTTATTGTTTCTGGAAAAGAAAGTGGAACAGCTCCATGCCTACAGGTTTCTCTATCAATGGAAACATGCTATGTACAAAAAAATGTACATGAGGGAAGATTAAAAAAAAAAAAAAAAAAGGGAACATCTCCACTGTATCTAATATCTCAGTGCTAAATAGTTGAGTGCAACCTTTCTTACTGCCTGGAAACAGTTTAAAAAAATTATGCAACTTTTATAACAATATGATTTACAGCAAAGATTTGTCAAATCAGAATTGCAAATGATCAGAAATCAAAAATTTACAGTAGCAGCAAAGTCATTGCTAGCTTGGGTTTAATGATAGCTTTTAAGGTGATATTTGTGCATCATGTGACAAAAGTGGGCTTGGCAGTCTCCTTTCTCCCAACACTTTATAACTTTACACACATTTCTGCCTGGCTTTAAGTGTCCATCAAAAATTGGACTTTTTTAAAGACTCTTGTATTAAACCAGCTTTTTAAAGCACTTTCCTCACCGCAAAAATATTTATGATTGCCATTTTGTCCTGAAGATAGTTAGCTTCTCATTTCCTGATCTAAGTTATTCACATACAAAGTAACTTTCTTTGGCATAGTGCCAAGGCCTTCAGTTCCACCTGATCTTCTTTTACCTTTGCTAAGAGTGGAGAGTTTGCTTTTCCTCAGTGCTAGTATAGATCAATTCTGGATCTCTAAATGCAAAAACAGATTACATCATGTTAAGACTTTCTTCAAGGTTATTCAGTGTGTGCCACTATTTTTACTATGTGAGTACCATTAGTGTTGTCCTGATTAAGATGCAGTTCACCACCTAAAAAACCCCAAACATATTTTAAGTAATACTGATTTAAAGTCATCAATTCATTTTCTTTTCTGTGAGTGTACAATTTAAAACTAACTTTTTAAAGTCAATTTAATAGCATTTAGGACCATATGCTTGTTTCATCCAGACAGGAATTTCACAGATGACTAACTATAGTCTAAATAACCTGTCAATTCTGATTATTTTGGCAAAACACCAAGAATATGTGGAGTATGTTTTAAACTAGTATCTTTTTAAATTGTCATTAAAAATGGGTTTGTTGTTAGAAACTCACTAAAGTTTCTAATATTTGTTAGACATTCATTACTAATATCTGATCAGAGCTGAATTAAATCTTGCAAACAAAAATATATCTGAATTTAAATGCAAATATAAAACACATTCCAGTTTCCCACTATTTCAAAGAGCCAGATAATTATCCGCCT